CATCAACAAGTTCTAGATCAATTTCGCGCTCTGAAATATTGCTATCAATTATACATTTGAAATTACATATTTTTTATTTTTTCGAAAATAATTAAAAACTAAGTGACACATTATAAAAAACAAAAAAATGCGAAAAAGAAAAATTTACAAAAAAGAATGCAGTTGAAATTTCCGTGAAAAAAATATGAAATTTTAAACCGAAAACCACTTTAGAGACTTGCAATGAACTTTTGTTGTCAGATGCTAAAAGAGAAAAATATTGCCCCTACCGGAATATTATACATAAACTAAAAAATACATAAAATATTACGATAAAAAAAAGGTATGTTACTAAAACAGAAGTCAATTTATTTTTTACCGCAATCTTTTTACTGAAGGCTGCATGAAAAAAAAAATAAATTTATTTTTTATTATATTTATATAGTTTATTATATTTATTATATTTATATTCAAACACAATTGCCTCAAACGTTTTATACTTTCAATTTTTTTGGCACGTCAAGAAACAAATAATTAGATTGATAATACACGCAATAATTATTGAAAATAAATATATTTTATAAATTGCACATATAAAGCCATAGATATTATTTACTTCATCTTCAATTAGAAATGTGATCTATGTGCTCATTTATTTATTAACAATATAAATTAAAATGCATAATTAGATTTGCCAATCATTCATGGATCAAACTATTAATGTCATTGCAAATATACCGGAACATTTCGATAAACGTATAATTAGACAATTTCATAAATGTTTACGTACATTATTTCTAGTCAATGCCATTAAATATTTATTTATCTTTTAATAATGTAATACGACATAATCTGAAAATCGCTAATTATCAGCGTAATATATCCGTTACTTGATATTATTGTTAATATTTTGCATAATATCAATATTTACAAACTTGTAGTATATTCGATGAAAAATACATTTTATTTTTCTTAGATATTAGTAGTATCATAATAACAGATATTTACTAGCATAATTCACGCAATGATTGATCCATCCACACAATGTTTTATACGACAACAATATTGAAATCATTAGAAAGAGATTTAATATTCGCTATAATCGCGTATTTATTTTTGTGCAAAACAATGATTGTTGGCTAAGGTAATTACGCTCCACGTAATTGCAAACGGCGCATATTACCAACGAATTCTGCGTTTTATAATCTATATTTTTTTCAAAGAGTTTTTTATGTTAGCTTATTATTCATCGTAACGATCTTAAAGCCCGGATTTCCTCGGTAATTAAAAAATGGTGTTATTGCTCACGGCTGGATTTTCCCGAGGTCTTTAGTTTAATTGAAATACAAGGCATTAATTTCACCGAGCGTTGCTCAAATGTGTTAATATCCGGCTACGCGAGCGTTTGGGTTCATCCTTTGATAAGGTTTTCACTCGAATCAAATTAATTTACTACATTCGACTCTCATGAGAAGATCGATATCACATCAATATCACACACAGCGGTGTTTCAAATTGCTTTTAAATATCTCTTCGCTTTTGTACTTCATTTAAAAAATATAATATTTCGTCCTATTTATCTATTCTCTATTTACTAAACTAAAGGAGAGAAGAATCGTGTTATATATCGCGTGTCGTAAAATTTAAAACTAGACAGCAACTGATATTCAACATTAATAATTACACTATATCGATCCTTAGAGATGGTCTTTTATTGGATCATGCGGATAGTAACGTGGGAAAAAAGCTGAAGCTACATGCGCACGTTGAATCTGGGAATATCATATTGTTTCATCGGTTTAAGCAGCTTTTATGGAGGAGGGGGACAAGGGATATGGATTTCCGATATAAAACTTTTCAATTCGTTCTCAAATGATAAGAACCCGCCAAACTTACCGAACGGATACCGTCACCCTTTATATTGCCGTCGACCGCATTTAAAAATATTTTATCGCATCCCGGGTCAACAGGCGCCCCCGTTCAGTCCCCTTCAATCACGTCGATCCCATCTGCATCGCGGTATATGCAAATTTGTTTTTATGCCCTCTTTAAACCTCGCCTTCAGAATCGCGTGTTTTTACGTGCGAGCAGCTTGTGTCCTTATTCAAGCTTAAAAATATAATCATAATTTATGACACTTTTACTTCGAAAACAAGGATGACTATAAAAAACATCTAATTCATTGGTTATAAAAAAATCCAATTGATCGGTGTTTGAAGGTGTTTGAAGATGCGCTATTTGTTCATTATTGTTATACATGACATATATGACATATAATACGTTAAAAAGTGACAGCGATAAAACATTAATCATATCCCATCGACCCCTTTCTAGGATTTCTATATTTAATTATAACTAAAACTAATTCACGGAGAAATTTACGAAGCGTATACGAGAAATGTGAGAGAAATGATAACAAATTACGATAACCATATATATTAAAAATGATTCAACCATTATATATCATTATTATACGGCATATATCATTTTGTTACGTAATCTCTTCATTTGCTTTCATCTATTTAGAAAATAGAAAAAGTTGTTACTCATGATTTCTAGAAATGTATAATAAGTAAAATTATTGCAATAATTTTATATATATAAAATAATGATATATATATATATATGATATATATATATATATATATATGAATATATATATATAAAATAATGAATAATATTATAGTAAAATAAAAAATTATATCTAGCGAAAAATTTTAATAAATAATAACTAATAAGAAGTATATATAAAGATATATGTGTATGCGTGCGACATATATACAATATGTATGCACTTTTTTGCACAAAAACTCTATTATTGACTAAATATTTATTATAAATATTAATTATTGACTAAATATTTATTATAAACATTAATTATTGACGAGATTGAAATCTATATTTTCGAAGCCTGAATTATATAATAGTATAAAAAATAAATCCATACATTTTTTCAAAACAATTATTCATTTAAATTTATCTCTGATACGTGGTAGAAAAATATAAACATACGTACACATTTATAAATGATTTTTTCAAAATGTATTCCATTTATAATGAATGAATTTTGCGCTTCTCTCTCTCTCTCTCTCTCTCTCTATATATATATATATATATATATACATATATATATATATTTATTTATTTATTTATTTATTTATTTATCTTTCATTTTTTTTTCTCAAAATTGCAAGAGGCGCGCCCGATTTTATTCTGCACAGAATATTTATCTTCCGAATAAAGTAAACCTTGATGCTATAGCTAGCATATAATGAGTTTACATACTATCAAATCATAAATCATAGTAGATATCATGCGAAATGCATCGCTTCTCGGCAGAAAAATAATTTATACGGATACGAGAAATTGTACGCGTGAAAAGGGATAATTCGAACATGATATTACGTCAATTTGAATATCGATATTCTCATAATTCATCCTAGTTCGACATTTTTTCCAAGTTGTTATAGATGAGATCAAGCTTTTCAAATATATCTTTGTATATTTTTTCCGAGAAAAATAAATAAAATTTATCTTCTTATTCGTACTATAAGATACATTTGAATATTATGTGTTTTGTTATTTAAAATACGTTGCAATATAATGTAGAGATTAAATATGATGAATAAATATGTCAAGTATAAATACTGCACAATGTCGTAATAATGTGCTCTATTGGCAGAATATAAAATCATAAAAACGTGCATTGAATTTTAACTATACAGTAGAGAAAAACAAGTATAATATATACTTGATATAATACATTGCATAATTATTAACTGTCGATACCATCGAAGATAATATAATACGATTTATATTTCCTTTCTTGCACGTACATTTTTTACTAGTCAGACAAGAGCGAGATTGGAATGCCTCGTTGTATAAAGAGGTATTTCATGAATGGCTGAGAGCAACCTGTCATCCACGGAACGAAAACATTTTTGTCGAGCTACTATAACGAGAAACACGTGAACTCGTTACCTCGACGAGTACAAAACTCGTAGAAAAAAAGTTATCTAAATTTTGCGCAGGATCAAGAGAGCTATATATGAAAAAGAAAAAGGGAAAAGCAAACGTTATGTAATAAAAATTTCCAATAAATTTATATTTATATATTATTTCCGTACATTTATAATAACTTAAACTATTTTAGCATATTTTGACAAATGCTTTAAATAATTTTTTTAATTTTAATTATATATGTATCTTTAGAAAAATTCAAATTATTTGTCAGAATATACTAAAATATATTAAACCATTATAAATACAAAATTATTCACTTTTTTTTAAAGATTAATTTTCATCTTCATAAATATGCTGACATTAGATGATATAAAACTTGAAATTCGATATTTCGCCTGATTTTATTCCTGAGATTCCTGTTTCTCAATTAAAGAAAAGTAAAAAATGTCACAAGATCTGGCGGAATATCAGATATTTTAAAGCAATTGGGGAACGAAATTTTAGACGCGAAATTACGGCACGAGATTCATTAAATACGTTTAGAAAGTATCAAGGTGGGAATAAACCTATCTTGGGCCACCGGAGAATTAAGTTTGAAATTTATGACTTCTTCAGAGCAAACAGAACGTATCAAGAATACTCAACGTTTTTTAACTCTCGAATGAAAATTTTTCCCTTTTCTCATTTCTCTGCCGAGTACCAGAAAAATTAATTTAAAGTTCCATCTTTAAGAGACGATTGCGTATTTCAAGCCATAAATTAAAGCAGACTAAAATATTAAGTGCGCAATATTATTTAAACGCGAATTAGAAATTCTATTTTAGCATGTGTCACACATATTTTTGTGCAATAATTAAGCAAGAAATACATTTAAAACATTTACTTTTATAATACTAATCTTTTATAAAAATAAAATTTTGTAAAAAAAACTTCATCGTCATTAATTCAATATTTGTGATTAAAATCTAATATAATAAATACTAGTATACATATATAATTAATACGTTTCCTCTTTTAACGATACTGTATGTACCTTATGTATCTTACCTTGCTTTCAGGTTGTTTGAAGAGAACGCGGAATTGTTAAATATGTTCACAAAATTCCGGGATTTGAAAACGAAGGAACAGCAATCGACGAGTATGGAATTGGCCGAGCATGCGAAAACAGTCATGTCCACCCTTGACGAAGGGATCAAGAGTCTGGACGATATGGACGCGTTTTTGACGTACCTTCACGAGGTTGGGGCCTCTCACACGAAAATCCCTGGCTTCAACCGGCAATACTTCTGGGTAAGTCCTAAAAAAAGATACAAGTTTGCTCTTTATATCCTGCAATATTCATGCACGGCATATGGCTAAATATAAATACACGATGAACGTATCCCAGTTATTGACCGACCAACTAAACTAAGGAAGAAAATAACACATTTGTAATGGAAGAGAAAATAAGATATTGTATCTTTTTGTAAAACTATCTCACAAATTTCTTTGGTATAAATATATGGATAATAAATTATCCATTTAGCAGAATAAATATTTAACTGTGATATTTATATACTTATCACATTTCAGTAATTAAATCAGTTTTGAATAATAATATATAATTAGTTCATTCTCATATAAACTCTGCACCTTGAAATACCCCGTTTCAAAAGAAGTACTATTATATAAAAAAGTTAGGTAAAATGAGGGCATATTGTCTTATATGTCAGAACATTGGTAGTTTTGTCTACATTACCGAGGAAATGCAAAGGGAAATTTCTAGCTCGCCGGAGACACGTCTCGCATTTCATGGAGAACATTTTCCTTCTGTATGCTGTGCTTATCTCTCGTAACGTGTAAATCAAAGAGAATAAAGTGCAAACTTTTGGGAAACATTGTAAATTATTTCAGGACCTGTCTCGCGAGACCACAAGATTTATACATAATAAAAATGTAATGCTCGGTATAAATATGATACAATAATTTTCGTTATATTATTTCTTACTTATATAGATTTTTAACTTACAGTGATAGAAAGCACTTTAATTCGTGTAATATAATTAGAGAATAAGATTTTATGATCTTATTATATATTTTTTCTTTATTGTAAATAGTTAAACTAAAATGTAATAAATTTATTTATACACAACCTTTAGTTTATTTTCAAATAATAAACAATCAAATTTCATAGACATGTTTCATCAGATTTGTCTTATTGAAAAATATATGTTTATAAAATTTGTTATCCTGATTAGAACATTTTATAATTCAGATTGAATAAAATTAATATAGGTCCATGCGACGAATTAAGTTTTAGTGTTGTATGATTTTGTGCGATCTGATATCTCATTTTTAACAGTTTATTAGACGCATTGCATTTTTTTAGAAATGTATATAATCTTCTTGACACAGAAAGGATACTCGCAGTGGAAAAGATTGAATAATAAATGTTAAGACTTCAACATCGCTACTACACGTCGGATATTTTGCTCCTTCATGGCTCTTCGTAATCCGCTGCACAGCTGGTGTCCGCCATTTGTCTGCCATGTTACGGCACTGCATGGTGTCTAATGAGAAAAGATTCTTTTTTAACAGTTCTTACATTTTTCTAGCAATTTAAAAAAGACACCTACAGTAGAATATAAATGTACAAAAATTCTTACGAGAAATTGATTAAAGATACTAAAAATTTATTATTATTTATATAAGACGCTCGATTGAAACCGCAAATTTGCTGAGTAAATATTTCTTAGATTGAAGTAACGTTTTCTTAAAAATGTTGAAATGTTTAATTTGTCTTATTAAAAATATCTTTATAGAGCACGTGAATATTAAGTAAAAAAAGAATAATACATATCATAACTTTGATTTGCTTCGTGCAAACTAATACAGGGCGCCTGGAAAGAGGACAACCGTTACTTATAAGACTTATAAATATTCCGCAACTTTATTTATGACCATGTTAATCAAAAATACTTTGAATGCAGAACACGAAAATCGATACAATAACCCTTCTGGCACTCGACTCGGCCGTAACACGAATATAAATTGATATGTTACAAAGCAAATAATAGAAAATTAAACAGTATGAAAATAATGGGAAAACATTTTTTGCTGCAATCCTGAAAAATCGAGGAAAATTTGTTTTATATTTAAATATTGCATGCTTTACAAAGCATCTGAATAAAATTGACAATTATCTAATGTAAATTATTGTAATATATTGAATTTACTGCACAATTAATACAACATAAATATTACCAATACAATTACGTAAATAATGATAGATATTAAATCAATTAGCAATTTATTACATTAAATAAATAATTTTCTCGATCAATTTCATATTTGTTTGAGTATTTTTCTCAGTTCGAACAATTCTTTTAAATCTATATCTATTTTACTCATCCAATAAATTTTCTCTCAATACGTCATTGAAATTATCTCATTTATTTTCGTAATAAAAAAAATAAAAAAGTAACATTTGAATTTCGTGCTATTGTAAAGAAATAATACTGCATATGTGTATTTGTAAATTATGATATATAAATTATAATATATATCACATAAAACAGCGTAAAATAAAACGAAAACGAAAAAATAATAATCTATATGATATATATGTGAGAGAAAGAATCGTTAAAAAACGATTTCAAAGTAGAAACGCAAAAATAAAAATGTTTCCCGTGTATATATATGCAAAGCAGGCTTTGTTACTTCCCGGCAATAGCGAGGGAATTTTCTTTGTACATTTAAAAAAGAAAATACATGCCGAAATCCTTTTTTTATCATTTTATCTTCTCAAAGAAAAGAGATAAATGTTAAAATAAAATTTGGAATTGCACAGAAAAAGGCGATTATAAGAATATTTAAAGATGTATGTGATTGAAAAAGGGGGATTTAAGAATATTTTATTAAAATAAAATTAATTTTAAAGTAAATTAGTACGATGTTTAAAACGGAAGAATTTTATAATTAAATTGTTAATCATACATGATAATAGCTTGTAAAGATCATACTTTATATTATGCGAGAGGCATTTCGGATTTATCTCTCGAATTAATCTTGGTTGTGCATAACTCAATTTCGTATTTGATTCTTCTTAACCGATCATATTTTGCTCAAGGTTCGTTTCCAATTTTTAAGTGGGGATAAAATCAAATTATCCATGGAATACAAAGAGTTTAAAGAATCACGGATGGGTCGCATTTATTTTCGCAGCATAGAATGCTTGTCCATGATTTCAATGCTTTGGCATGAAATCAAATCGGGTTTGTCCTCTTTTCGAGTCGTACAATTCATGGACTTCACTGTATACAAGGATTGATAATTTCTGTTGAATGATCCTGCAAAGTCTATTGACGGCGGATACTAAAATTCTCGCATTGTTGCCGGCCATAACCGCTGAAAATAGCTCAAGATTTAAATATTTCATTATATTGGCATTATTTTTCATAAAGAATAGAAAACAATGCTAATAATAGCTTTAATTTCATCAGTGCTCAAAATAAATTTAAAACAAATAATTTTTCTAATATTTCTCTTCAGTTTACTTATGAATGAGATAGCCAATCATTTAATTAAAAAATTATAAATACGAGAATATAAAATCACAAAGTCCCAAATCAATTTCTTTCAATTGTCTTTTTTTAAAAAAATATTACAAGCATTATACATATTAGAAATTTAACTAAATTTCTGTTTAGAATAATATACGCTAATATTTTTTTAATCAAACTATAGAATAATCAAACTATATAGAATTTTACAATACAATGGCTATTGTTTTTGTTTGGAGAATTTAGTTATTTCAAACATTTGCATTAACAAAGAAAAATATACTATTTTTATAGTTATAGTTGTACCAAAAAAAATAAAAAAAAATTGTTATAAAAATAAAATTTTTATAATAGCAGAAAAAGATAAAATATAGAGATATACTTTTATAACTTGTATATTCTATTATAAAAAATTATATACATCTAAACATATCTAAATATATCTATATATATCTAAAATAATAAACTTTTGTAAACGGAAACTTTCAAAAAAATTCAGAACTACCTGATTACCAAAGATTCATTAATTAACAAAAGAAGAATTAAATAATGAAATTATTCTTAATAATTCTGAATTATTCTTAAATCGGATTATATTTGGAAAATTTCACACACATACAAAAAATTTTTCGTACGAAATACTTTCTATTTATGCTATTATCATGATTAAAAGTTTGTAGAATTATGCTTCCGATCTAAATCTAGCAAAATAGTAATATTACTCTTTTCTTTGGAAATTTTCGAAACGTTTAATCTTAATTTCATATGTCAATATAATAACCAAATGCGCTCTACTTTCAGAAAATTGAGAAACCGTTTCTGGATGCGGTGGAGCGTACACTGGAGGACCGATATTCGGAGAATGTGGAGAACATCTACAAGCTGACGATCAAATTCATCATCGAGACGTTGATCGACGGCTTTGACAAGGCACAGAACGACAAGGCCAAGTCCTAGTCGTCCTAGTTTCGAGGATCCGGCACGCACGTGATCGCCCTCGATCCTTCGAAATGTTGATCGTCCCCCCTGGTTCTCCCGGTCCCCCCTGGAACGGAAAAGAGCCACAGCCGCCATGCCGATTCCTCGGTAAACGGCGATGGGACAATCGTCGTCCTTGCGTTGGTTCGTCGCTCCTTCGTTTCCTGAATCCGTTTCGCGCGGATTCCCGAGAAACGCGAATATATGCGAGAGCACGTGACGTTTACGTCGTAAATGTTCTCGTCGGCCTGAGATCTTTCTTTCCCTCGAGCGGGTCTCGCTATTAGACGTATCCGAATATTGAAAAACGGTTTGGAGTCAATCTCTCGGGACTTCTTCAAAAATCGCGTCGCTACGCGAGCCGAAAGAGTCGCGCGATTCTTCCGACGGTCGAAGGGTTTTCAACGATTCGATTCGATATTCGATTAATTTTTCAGGGGATTTTATTTTCTCGATATTATAAAAAATGCTTGTTCTATTTAAATAATACAATAATGTTTACGCGACGGTGCGAAAGGTATAATATAAAACTACCTGAAATATATTTTTTGAAATATATTTTTTCGAAATTGTTCTAGATGCCTGGATATCAATATTATTTGCAAGTTTATACGCGGTTTAGGTATGTATTTATAAGTCATTTGGATCTTTGAATTTAAGTAACTCGTGAGTAGTTCTGCAAAAGTCGATTAAGTTTAATTCGATTAAGTTTAATTGGTTCTTTGTTCCCTTCTCTAATATTAGTTTCGGAAGAGGCAAATAATAAGTTAAACTAAGATTAAAGTTCATCAACGACAGCAAAATTAGCCCTTGAGCGCCATAATTTGAAATTTATCTGTAATTTGAATGTAACAGGTGATTAATCAGGTTTTTATAAAAGGTTTTTATAAAAGGGCATCAAAATATGCCCATAGAAAAATTCATGCAAAAATAATCCTCATCAAAGATTCGCTTTTGAAATCTTTTTACTCATGCACATGTGTTGTTTTTTTCTCTATAATATAATGTAAAATTATGTAAAATATAAAATAATGTAAAATTGTGCGAATAGAGAAATTTCGAGAGATAAAAACGGAAATATTTCGAATGAAATATATGTGCTTTTCTAAATTTATCGAAGCCGCATCATGGTATCGAAAAAAGGTATTTTAATTTACATTTTTATTACCAATTTGTAATTTTGCTAAAGAAGTTTATGTTTTATACATATATGTATTACATATATATTATCTCGAAAAAATATGAAACATGAAAAAAAAACAGTAAAATTCATTTGATTCTCTTTAAACAAACAAATTTTCTAAAAAAAGTATATTCCAAAATTCAACGTAAATATGTTATTCAATCTTGTTTAACCTGCCGTATATAAATATTAAATATTTTAATTCGTTTTCTTTTTGGCGTTACGTAATTTATTTCTATTCGCCGATGATAGACGTCTTCTGATTTCAAAGACCATACATTTAACAGAAATAAAGTGCAAAGTGATGGCACGTCGTTATTGATCAGACGCGAAATTAGAGGGAAGAAGGAGGGAGAGCTTTCCTCTTCCATAAAAGAGACCGATCTTCTTAAGAGGATTACTTGAACGTAACTTTGGCCAATGATATGATACCCTTCACCATGAAAAGGAGAATTCGAAATGAAAGTCCTTATTACAATGCTATTACAAACAAAATAAGATCCGACCGGTCGTTCTACTCTTCGCCGTGGATCCGTTTTAAGGGTCTCTTGTGGCATAGAAGAACTCTATTAAATCCTTTTATGGGTGTTATAAAACCATCTAACGTGTAGATAACGATGACTCGTTCATAGTTATCAAGTCGCTCAATTTTCTTCATAATTAATTACGCATTTAATAAACGTGAACACTCAAAAAAATGATCTTGCAACTATAGCAAAAATTTTCTAGGTGCGAAAAATTAACCGAGGCAGATAAACGATTAGCAAATATTGTAATATCGTATATATGTTGCACGTAATCAATCTAAATGACAGAGACAGAATTTATATCTGAGCTATTTGTGAAATTTAGAAAGAAAATTTTTCTGTGGCGTCTATCCATGTTATGATCAATCCATACTTGTTATAAAGTTTGGCTGTAGTACACAGAAAATACTAGCAGCAAGAACAAATGAATATATAATCCTAAATTTTCTAGCAGATATTGCTAGAATGTTACTGCTAGAAATTCTAGCTGTGACAAACGATATTCTATCAGATACAAAAAATAGCGATAAATTTTCGTTGCGACATCTAGAAATCTACCTACATTAGCAAAACATTTTTTTGAGTGAAGAAAAAGATGTTTCTATTCAGCCTTTTTTTCCACTCATTTTTCACGCCAAAGGCTTTTTATGGATTTTTTATTCTGCTAATTATATTAAATTGCTTTTACTCATGCAAAGTGTAAAATACTCCCCGGCTTTTGAAGTCTCATAAATCGGGCAAAATTCAATGAATCGGCAAAAAGTTTACATTGTTACATGCGCTGCAAATTGATTCACGTTTAATAGAAAACCTTCGTAATTGTTTTCATTTATAAAAGACACATAAAGCTTTATTCTCGACCATTATTTAATATTACAAAATATTAAAGAGAATAATAAAAAATAAAAGTATTTATTTCTATATAAAAAAGAGGCAAACCAAATTATTTAAAACTGAATACTTAATCTCTAATGTTACAGAAAAAAAGAAACGGCCCTATGCGACCCATATTCTCTTTATAATGATCGATATATTATTGTATAATTATTTTACGAAAAAGTTTTTTCACTTTTTTAAGCCAGACATCGATACTCTCCCATCGGTTATAGTCAATATATAAATATATATATTGTATAAATTTCAGATATCACTTATAATGGTATTGCTCGAGTCTCGGCGAAGGCAGACCTCCGAGAAATAATTCGCGTAAAATGCTTTGCGATTTTGATAATACCGCAATATTTTTCGGGGATATCATCGATTCTGCTGGCGTAAGATACGCCGGCGTTTTAGAGCCGCATTAAAGCCGCGAATGCAGCTCATCGGGACCGATTTTATACACGTTTCTGCCTTTCAATATGTGCTCGATAATTGATACAAACGCAGTGGCCGACTGCCGCCTTTATTCGCGCGCGAAAGCCTTGGATTACATAAGTCGCGCAGGATACCCTCCACGATGCGAGGCCGAATGCACGAGAATGTAAATGCGCTTTGTCTCGAAACGGGGTCGCGATTTAATCGCAAAAACAATGTGAATGCAAAAGCTTCACCTTGCCCTTTCATTATAATCCCGACGTTCTTACGCGTATAATTTATTTATTTTTAATTATATCGAATTTGTCGTACGCATTTATTCGCGAGAGTCTGAACGTTATTGGAAATTTGTAGAAAATCTCATCGGTTTTACAGAAAAGTTGTTCACACGCGCCGCGATCTGATAAACATCTTGACTTCGATCTCCGCTACGTTTGCTGCAATTTACTTTTTAATGAAGTGTCAAGATTGATGATTTCATGTTACAGTTTGTTGATTTAATGCGGAAAGCTGTGGCAGTTACCGATGATCGGCAGTATCATACTAACGTATCTTATTGACTTGGGCGTAAAATGCAATCGTATTTAGAATATCATAGGCATCCTCGATAAAGAGCCAATTAAATCAGTACATCAAATATTATATTTATATTTAAAATCGAGCACATAAATTTTAATTAGGTGTTTGTAAAGTTAATCGAAATTTGCAGAATTGAAATTATGCCAATTTAAGAAAATATTAAAAATTGTTTGACAATTTTAATCTTTCTAAAAGTTTTATATATATTTTTTTTCTTCCGATTTATTTTAATTAAAACACTATATTTTAATTAAAACACAAAAACCTTGGAAATGTTTACTTAGCATTATCATTTAGATATGTGTACAGTGACACATTATTTATATTAATTATATAAAATTTTTCTTGTCAAAAAATATTTTCAAAGAAAATCGTTCCATATTTCAATCGAAAAAGTTTATACATTTTTCAAAGAGATTTTACATATATTTATTATGAGATATGCTTTTAAGATCGCGCCGATAAGTATGTTTGTGAGTAAATCTAAAATTGCTCGATTTCTACTTTGTCCGAAAATAACATATTCATGTAGAAACATGTGTGACGCGAATTTTTCATTCGTTCGTCGCAAGATCGATTGAAGTGATTACAAATGACATGTAGACGGAAAGGCGAACTGAAATTATTAATACATCTCAGATCGATCACGAGATTTTCATGGCAAACGATTAAATTAGATTCTAAACGTCTAACCGAAGAGAAGTCATTTCCAAATTCGATGATTCCGTCAATTTTCAATCTTGAATTTTTTTATGAAAAAGCATTATTAAATAACCGAAATATATATAAAATGCTTTATTATATTTATCATTTATTATTATTATTATTATTATTATTATTATTATTATTATGCATTTCTAATTATTTAAAATTTTTTTTCTTTCTTTCGAAAAAGATTCGTTTGAAAAAGATTGCTCCTTGCGTTCCTACGAAAGGATTCCATAACTTTTCGCTTTGTACATACTTCGCTTTCCTTTTTCAACTTCGATTTCCTTTTTCAACTTTTATTTATAAAGAGGCAAAATTGAAAGTACAGAGTGGAAAGCTGGAAAGTGGCTTCATACAATATTCGAGCACTCGATGTGAGGCTTACTTTTCAAGCGCGATCGAACAAGTCCGATTCTGATTCGACTTGCTGGTGATTCGTAGCATCACCGAGTCCGAGAAAATGTCGGGACCCTTCGACCGTCAAAGGAGAACTTGTATAAATTTTTACTCGTATTATAAGGCAGAAAAAAGTGTGGTTGTCAAGTGTGATGCTGGAAAAAATGTCTCTGGGGCAATCGGCCCTTCGCACGCGCAAATGTCAATTTCCTAGGAGGTCTCGAGAAAGGGCGAAAAGCCCCTCTGTATCTCTCTGTATCTTCCTCGCCATCTTTATCTATCTCTATTTCTTTCTGAGGTCGATTCGCTTATGTTGCTCTCTGTGGAGGCCGATATGGATCGTTTCATATCTTTGAAAAAGGACGTAACACACTTATGCGGACGACTGCAGAACGCGTGACTTATGAGAAGACGTCCTAAAACTATCACACGCGATATTAATTCGCTCTAGATCTCATTCTACATATACACAGTAAACAATTGTGCGTCCATATGTTAAAATTTTCTTGTATTACCACGTTTCGATTGGTACTTTAATGTAAAATTAACATACAACTTATGTGTTATTATTTTTATAACGTTTTCATGTGCTACATTTATGTCAACTTCATAACTTAACACTTTGTATATATCTTTTAGAAATGGAATATTATTTTGAGTATTTTTAACATAACCATTTTAAATAATCAACATGTCTCAAAGTCAGTTTAACATTCTAAGAAAAGTTAAAGTA